TGCCCGAGTGCTGGGCAGAGCAGTGGGTCCCAGCACCCTGTGGCACCCCCTGCCATCCCCTGGCACCCAGTGGCACCCCAGCAGGTAAGATGTGCTCCCAGGTCCCCCCACCCCTCTCACCGGCCACCTTGTCCCCAGCGTCACGTGGGTGTTCCTGCAAGCACACGTGGGATGGCAGAGGCTTCTGTGGGTGCCCAGGGTGGGGGCTGGGATGGGTGCTGCCCCAGCCTGGGGTCCTGGGGGAGGTTTGGGGGGTCCCAGGGCATAGGGCAGTTCACAGCCATGGGGCACTTATTGACTTGGAGGTGGCACAGGTGGGTGCTGGGACTGCCTGGAGCTGGGTGACAGTGGGCACGATGGGGCATGGTGGGGGTGCCAGGGGGCTCAGCGGGGTGCAGGTGGACTCAGCGGGGTGCAGGTGGACTCAGCGGGGTGCCAGGGGGGTAGGAGGGTTATGCAGCAGCCAGGAGGGCAGGGGTGGAACTGATCTGCAACCTGGAGCACCCCCAGAAATGGGGGAGCCTTGTGTGTGTCCCCAGCACTCCTCCCAAGCCTGACCCCATGGCCGGGCTGTGCTCCAGGGCCGGTAAATCCCCAAAGACCCAAAACGTGGCCACCACAGTGGTACCAGCCAACAGGGGGGCCCCAGGACTGGTGTGTCCCCCTCTGGTCCCCTCTGCCTCATGCACCTGGCTGGAGCCCAGCCACACCCCTCCCTGCCTCAGTTTCCCTTCCCAGCCTGTGTGGGGACACTGGCCACCCCATTTCCAGGCAAGCTCGTCCCCGCTAGGTGTCGGGGCCACCGCTGGGGCATGCAAGGGAAAGCAGGTGCCGGCCCCGCGCTGCCAGCCGGGGTTGCAAACAGGTCTGCAGGCGATGGAGGAAGCGAGAGGAGGAAGTAAAAGCGGCTCTGCTGTCACCCAGGAGCGTGTAGCACCCATGGGTGGCGTGGCGAGGGATTCGGCCAAGTGACATGGCTGGGGTCAGGGGTCTCTTTGTGCTGTAGGACCACATCTTTTGCACTGGTCTTAACCTCTAAGAAAAGCAGCTGGCCTCTTCTCCAGCTCAGAGCAGCCCAGAGGCCCCGTGGATGGGCTCTCTTAGCCCACAAAACTGAAAACCTCTGGGACCAGAGCGTCACCAGCCCCGCTTCCCGGATGAAAGTAACCACCAAACATCTGTGGGTTGTGCTGGGCTCGGTGCAGGTGGCATCTCCTGAAACTCAGGGTGAGTGGCTGTAGGGCCACTCGGTGACTGGCCGTAGGGCTTTGGCACCCCCTGCAGAGGAGCAGGAAGCCATGCCGGCGGCTAACAGCACGCCGTGCCGCAAGTTCCTCTCCCGCACCGGGATGAGAGCGGTTTGACCTTGTGCAAACCTTTCTGTCAGGGGAAGAGGAGCTGAGATCGCGGCCACCATGGTGTCCCATGTGCCACCACCCCGCGCGGTCCTGCTTTCTCCACCTTCACCTCCCTGATGGACTTCTAAATCCATCGCCGTGGTTTAGAACCATAGAATCACAGAATGGTTTGGGTTGGAAGGGACCTTTGAAGATCATCCAGTCCAACCTCCTGCCATGGGCAGGGACATCTTCAACCAGATCAGGGTGCTCACAGCCCCATCCAGCCTGGCCTTGAATGTTTCCAGGGATGGGGCATCTCCCACCTCTCTGGGCAACCTGGGCCAGTGTCTCATCACTCTCATTGTAAAAAATTTCTTCTAGTCTAACTCCATCCTCTTCTAGTTTAAAACCATCACCCCTTGTCCTATTGCTACAGGCCCTGCTAAAAAGCCTGTCCCCGCCTTTCTTATTTTTTTATTTAAGTATTGAAAGGCCGCAATCAGGTCTGCCCGCAGCCTCCTCCTCTCCAGGCTGAACCCCCCCAGCTCTCAGCCTCTCCTCCCAGCAGAGCTGTGCCATCCTCGCACCATTGCTGTGGCCTCCCCTGGCCCCGCTCCAACAGCTCCATGTCCTTCCCGTGCTGAGGACCCCCGAGCTGGACGCAGGGCTCCAGGGGGGTCTCCCCAGAGCGGAGCAGAGGGGCAGAATCCCCTCCCTCGCCCCGCTGCCCACGCTGCGGGGGATGCAGCCCAGGAGACGCTTGGCTTTCTGGGCTGCCAGCGCACATTGCCGGCTCATGGCCAGCTTTTCACCCCCAGCACCCCAAGTCCTTCTCCTCAGGGATGCTCTCAACCCCTTCATCCCCCAGCCTGTACGGATACCAGGGATTGCCCCCACGCAGAAGGATGGGGCTATGGGGTCGCACACACTGGTCCAGGTTCATCTTGCTAGGGCGGGTGTGACACCTCATGGCCAAGTCACCAACTGTCCCCTTTGTCATTCACAGGCGCTGCTGAGGGGCCACGCCAGCAGAGAGGACATCGATGAGGGAGACCACCACCATGGCCAACTTGACAGCCCAACCCATGGAAGTCGGGAGGAACTCGTGCACCTTCCACGAGGAGTTCAAGCAGGTCCTGCTGCCCCTGGTCTACTCGGTGGTGTTCATGGTGGGGTTGCCCTTGAACGCTGTGGTCATCGGGCAGATTTGGGTGGCCCGTAAGGCGCTCAGCCGCACCATGATCTACATGCTGAACCTGGCCACAGCCGACCTGCTCTACGTCTGCTCCCTCCCGCTTCTCATCTACAACTACACCCAGAAGGATTATTGGCCTTTTGGGGACTTCACCTGCAAATTCGTCCGCTTCCAGTTCTATACCAACCTCCACGGCAGCATCCTCTTCCTCACCTGCATCAGCGTCCAGCGGTACCTGGGCATCTGCCACCCCTTGGCCTCATGGCACAAGAAGAAGGGGAAGAAGCTGACGTGGCTGGTGTGTGCCGCAGTGTGGTTCATCGTCATCACCCAGTGCCTGCCCACCTTCGTCTTCGCTTCCACCGGCATCCAAAGGAACCGCACTGTCTGCTATGACCTGAGCCCACCGGATCGCTCCGCTGCCTACTTCCCCTATGGCATCACCCTCACAGTCACCGGCTTCCTGCTGCCCTTTGTGGCCATCCTCGCCTGCTACTGCAGCATGGCCCGGATCCTGTGCCAGAAGGATGAGCTGATCGGCTTGGCAGTGCACAAGAGGAAGGACAAAGCCGTGCGTATGATCATCATCGTGGTCATCGTCTTCTCCATCAGCTTCTTCCCCTTCCACCTCACCAAGACCATCTACCTGATCGTCCGTTCCTCGCCCAGCCTGCCCTGCCAGGCTCTGCAGGCGTTTGCCATCGCCTACAAGTGCACGCGTCCCTTTGCCAGCATGAACAGCGTCCTCGACCCCATCCTCTTCTACTTCACCCAACGCAAGTTTCGCGAAAGCACCCGTTACCTCATTGACAAGATGAGCTCCAAGTGGCGGCATGACCATTGCGTTACTTATGGCTCCTAGGTGAAGATGAGGGCCACCTCGGGGTACCAGGATGGGGCATGGAGCAATTTTGGCTTTAAGCTCCACAGAGTGGAGATGGCTTCAGCTGGGGACATGCTGGAGGACAGGAGGATGGCATCTCCCGAGCTTTCAGCACTTTCATCCCATCTCCAGCCTGCAGCGGCACAGTATTAACCCCATCACGGCACAGTTCTCCCTCTGGCTTGGTTGCTCGAACAGCAGCTTAGCGCTGTGTTTCCTTGGTGGCCAAGCCACCAATGCAGTAAAAACCACTGGTGGGACCATGGAGAGCACAGTGGGACCATGGAGGACATGGTCCCTGGCTCAGGGCGAGCTGCTGGGGGGCGATTTCTCCCTCTTCTTGTTTAAAGCTTCCCTGATGGGGCCATGCAAGGGCTGGGGAGGGTTTGGCTCAGCTCGTATCTGTCTGGGGAACATGGGGCCATGTGTTTCTCCAGCTCAAGATCAGCGTCATGGACATTTTTGGGGTAATACTGAGACATCCCTATCCCCCAGTCCCCAGAATGGGGCCAGATCAGTAAGACACATGGGCCCACTGGTACCACTGGTGCTGCAAAACAGTGGAAGAGCATCCCATGCCAGACTGGAATCTGGGAAGGGGGACATAAGGGCAACCAGGACACCCATGCTGGATTTCCCACCCAAGTGATGACCATGGGCTGGGTTAGACACAAGCCAGAGGTGTTGTCACCTGCCCGGGGACCTACAGCATTATCTGGGTCCAGCTCCCTGCTTAGCCCAGCACGCCAAATCTGGCCCACCCTGGCATCCTCAGCATCCTGCTGCCACCTCCTAACCAAGATCCACCAAAATCAGAGCCAGCACAATGCCAGGAGTCAGGAAACTCATGCCACCAAGCTACTCAGTGTCCTTGGCCATGTCACCATGTGTCCCACCATTGGCTTCGCCTCTCCACCACCCCCACGAGGGGTTGAGGATTGAGCTTTGCTCCCCGCAGCCTCCGGCGGGATGCTGCTTCCTCCTGGCAAGGAGGGGTCTGCTTGCACGGCGCGGGGTGGATGTACCACTAATCGCTCTGCAAGTCACCTTTAACGTAAAGGATGTATAGAATAAACCTCTCCCCCTTTTTCAGCTGGATATGTACACATGTATACACCCACTGTATATACGTACATATAATACATCCAAGCAGGGGAAGGTTTGTAGCCTAACACAGGCTACGTGGCACAGATATTCTCTGCCCTGAATACACTATATGTACCTATACGGTGTATGTATGTATATATAGGGATAACTTTCGCTGCATTTCTCGCAGGTTGTTTGTGGGTAATAATCACGTCTAAGTTGATTTAAGCAGTTTGCTTCAAATTTCTGGAAATGAGCATCCCTCCTGTACCCAACCAAGCGTGCGTCTTCATCCCAACTTGCTCCCTGCAAGGGCGCAGCATCTTCCTTGGGTACCCGGCCACCCAAGGACCTCGCCAGCATCCAGGGCTGGTGGTCCCAATGTGGGTCCTTGCTGTCACAAGGATGAGGAGGGCGCCCAGGGTGGTCATGAGCTCTTGGATGATGCTCAAAGATCTCAGCATCGCAGTGGGCTGGAATGGAGAGGGATCCTGTGATGGCGTGAGCTCAAGCCGCCTGGTTTTGCAGGAGCAGTGGCCGTGTCCTGGTGGGGAGGACCATGCATGGTGCCAATGGCTTTGGGTTGGAGCACAGGAAGTGACGGAGGAGGCAGAACCAGCCCTAGGGTTTCCCTTGGCCAGAGCTCATCCATGCCAAAATCTCCTCTGATATATTTTTGGGGTCCGGCAAAATGCTGGGGGCTGCGAGAGTGGTGGCCAGTGGGACAATCCCAGGCTGGTGTCCCCAACTCTTCCCAGACAAAAGGAAGGGTGACAGGGTGACAGGGTGGGAGACGGCGGGCCACGCCATCCGGACCCAGGAGAGGGCGCAAAATATTCAGATTTGGAGCAATTCAGCTGGGTCTGTGGGTGTCCACCCCGCTCCAGGGAGGCATGGAGGAGTCCTGCTCCCTCACACCACCCTGTGTCTGGAGAGCACCCATGGGACGAGGTGGCCAGCCAAAACTGAACCGCAATATAGCTTTGACGGGAAAAAAATAAGCAGGTCCCAAAAAGTCCAGTGGTGGCTGCAGGGACAGCGTGGGGTCAGGCGGTGACATCCAGCAGCCCCCGATGAGGTCCCTGATGGTGGAATCAGGAATTTTGGATGGTTTTAAGGGTAGGAGGCACATGGAGCTCACTAATTTCTGCACTTTGGGTCTGACTATGTCCTGCCTGGCCTTGGGGTCCTGTCAGCAGTTCCCTTGGTACCACCAGGCCTAGAAGCCAGGGTGATGGGCACAACGTGGTGCCTTAGAGATGGGGTGGGTGCTTCAAAACATCTCCTTCGCTTGCAAGACGCTCAACACCAGCAGCCTGAGGACCAGCTCCTCCAGCACCGAGATGTGATGAAATGTGTGTGGTTCTTCCCACAATCCCATCCTGAATGCCAGGTGACCATGGGGACATCATGGGGACATCATGGGAACATCGTCCTTACGGCCGGGAGACACCCAGCCCTGGGGGAACCAGGGGAGGAGAGGGCAGAGGGAGGCAATGGAGAGCCGGGGAGGGAATACCTGCTGGGGCAGTGCATCTCACAGCATCGCCGGAGGCACTTTTTAGATCCTGAAAAATGCACTTACAGGGGTGTTGGTTTTTTTTTTAATCACCACCAGGTTTTTTTGTGCCCCTGGGATAGAGACGGCAATGTCCGTGGCCAGGACACCTTTCCAGCCCCATCCACGCTGCCAAGGCCCCAGCTCACCCATCAACCACCCGCCAGCCACCTTCATTTTTCACATCCCCGGCGATAAATCCGTTGTCTTGGGGGAAAGGGGGTTACGAGCTGCAAATAGCAAGCGCTGACAAGCGATGCTAAAAACCCACGAGAAAGTCTGTTCGCGGGGCGGTGCGTCACCGGAGCTCTTTGCAAGTTGGGAACAAGGTGTTCTGCCTTCCCCGAGATGAGCTGCAAAGCAGGGGCTGGAGAAATACACAGCAAAGGGAAGGATCTCACCCAAATTTTCATAGAATCACAGAATCGTTTAGGTTGGAAAAGACCCTTAAGATCACCAAGGCCAATCGTTAACCCAGCACTGCCAAGGCCACCACTAAACCATGTCCCCAAGCACCACATCTCCCCGACTTTTAAATCCCCCCAGGGATGGGGACTCAGCCCCTGCCCTGGGCAGCCTGGGCCAGGGCCTGACAGCCCTTTGGGGAAGAAGTTTTTCCCAATACCCAACCCAAA